CAGAGCTGCAGGGCCTAGAGGCTTCTCACCTCACCCCAAGAACCCCTTTTTCTTTACTGGGAGCAACATTGAAATTAGAACCCAGATCTCCTGAATTTTTTTTATTTTTTATTTTTATTTTTGTCTTTAGCAAAGTTGTTATGGCCCAGTGAGAATTAGTTTAATCTTCCATATGGATATATAACCCTACCCACATTGAAATTGAAACTATGAGGGCCGGCCCGTGGCTCACTTGGGAGAGTGTGGTGCTGATAACACCAAGGCCACGGGTTCGGATCCCATATAGGGATGGCCGGTTGTCTCACTTGGAGAGAGTGGTGCTGACAACACCAAGTCAAGGGTTAAGATCCCCTTACCGGCCATATTTTTTTAAAAAAAGAAACAGATTATGTAAATTTACTTTTACTCTGCTTCTGCACTGAAAGGTTTTTGAGGCTGGTAGGCAAATGGAAACCAATGTGATGACTTTATCAAATAGCTACGGCACAAGTGGTAAGTATCACTAGCAACCAGGGCTGGATTCACGGGCATGCGACCTGTGTAATTGCACAGGGGCCCTTGCTTAAAAGGGACCTGCTCTAGGCTTAATGCTCCACCATTGTCACCTTGAAATTCTTCATAATTTTTGAAAAAGGGGCCCTGCAACTTACGTAGCTAGTTCTTTTAACTACAAATGAGAATATTGCACAAGGAAAGCAAATTGAGCAGAAGTAGTCTGACGCAAGCTCAGAAGATTTTTGCTTGTTTATCTTTGTAAACTAACAGCAAAATTGTTTGTTTTTTGTCACACCAGGGATATCAGAAATATTAAAAGGTGTTGAGAAGCATGTTGCTTATTGGTTGAAGAAATGGACTCTTTCGAAGTTCCTAGAGAGGTGTTTTCTTCTGAGCCTTAATTACCTTTCCTGCTCAGACATGTGGTTACTGGACCAGAAAGAAAATGCCAAGGAAAACATAGTGACTCTTTTCCAACCATGAGAGAGAATCTTCTACAGCTCAACATCTGTTTTACTCCATCTTACCTTATTCTTTGTCATTGCACCAACAATGATAGGGCAAACCATTCCTGACAATGTGCCGACACCATTCGAAATGCCCATTAAAATACTGGCATATCTTGGAGCAATATCCAAGTGATTAACATTGAAACCTGAAATACACATATAAGTTTTGACTCAAGGAATCCTGAGCCTCTTAGAAGAGTAAATAGTTACAGAACATCACACCACAGCTCCTTAAAAGATACTGGGTACACAGCATATGCTTAATAACTACTAATAATTGCTTCTTGGTTATTTAGCTCAGGGGTATAATGGGAATTGAATGAGGTACAATTTTCCATACAATACTTAATAGGTGATGCTCACTCCACAATGAGGAGGAAATGTTCTCTTAACAACAAGAACAAAAATAAGCAGAGGGAAAAGTAGGTAGCAACAAATCCAAATAATGTTTTCTAAATGTTTTATTATTTTTATTTTCTATTGTTAATATGTTGAGTAATATTCAAAATATTGAAGAGGGAAGAATCTACTTTAATATAATATATATATATATATAAAGATACACACATATGTGTGTGTGTGTGTGTGTGTGTGTGTGTGTGTGTGTATATATATATATATATAACTTTTATCATCACCCAAAATCATGATGTCATAAGTACAAAGAAAAAAAATTGTGTTTTACCAGATATAGCAAATCCGCTGAATCCCACTGCAAGTACCAAGAATGAGATAGCTACACCTCTAGTATGAGAATAGCCAACAACCAGAAGCAGTGTGGCTTCCATGCCAAAACCTTTGGAAGCAAACACATGGAAATTATTCAGAAATTCATGTAAATTTACCAATGAGGATAAACTGTTAAAAGTGCTCATATTTATTGTCTTAGAAATTCTACTTCAGAGAGTTATCTTTTAAAAAATTAATAGTAGTAGTAATTTATGCCAGAGATTACTGAATCATTCCTTGCATTTTAATAAAAAACATCCAAAACAATCTAAAGTTTCAATCCTGGGAAGGGTTAAGTCAATTAAAAGAAATATAAATGACATTATTATGCAGTTATTGAGAACTAAAAGTTACAGGAAGTTTGAAGTAAGATAAGAAAATACTGTTAAATGAAGAATGAATGTACAAATTTAACTAAAACTAAGTAATTTGATATGTATAAAAAAGTTATTCACTCATATAAATCAAAGTTAATAAACAGAGGTGAGTCCAGGAGAACTGCACAGCAGAGGCAACCCACCCCCTACTCCATGGACTGGGAGGGGAGTGCCACGAGAGCCCAGCAGAACTGCATACCACTAGGGTCTCATTCTACAACCACAGATTCTGGAACAGGACCCAAGGTGATTTAACATAACCACCCTCATATCTACTGTAAAGCAAAGACAATTCACCACCACAGTATCATCCAGGGCCACTCCACAGCAAACCTCAGTGCAATAGAAGAAGCAAACCCTCTACCAAATGACCAAACATCAACAACTACAAAAAAATACTAGAACTACAAATAAACAAGAAGAAATGACACCACTGAAAGAATATAGTAATGCTCCAAAGTCAAACTTCATGGAACAGGGAATCCTTGATATGTCTGAAAAATAATTCCAAACAATGATCTTAGGAATACTTGAAGAAATAAAGACTCAATTAAAAAACACAATGAAACAAGAAAAAATATCCAGAATATGATGGAGAAAATCTACAAAGAGGTTAATATCTTAAAAAGGAGTATAGCAGAACTTCTAGAAATGAAAGATTCCCTCAATGAAATAAAAAACACAACTGAAGCCTTGAGCAGCAGGATAGAACAAGCAGGAGAAAGAATTTCAGAGCTTGAAGATGTCCTTTTTGAAATAGCTCAGGCAGACAATAAAAAAGGAAAAAAAGAATTAAAAATAATGAGGAAAATCTAAGAGAGATAGCAGACAACCTCAAGTGCTCTAACATCCAAATTGTGAGTATTCCTGAAGGGGAGGAGAAAGGAAAAGGTTTTGAAAAACTATTCAAGGAAATAGTAACAGAAAACTTCCCAGGTGTAGGGTGAGATACAGACCTTCAGATCCAGGAAGCTCAAAGAAACCGAAACAGATTCAATCCAAAAAGATCCTCCCCAAGACACATTATAGTTAATTTTGCAAAGCTCAAAGACAAAGAGAATTCTAAAAGCAGCAAGAGAAAAGTGTCAGGTCACTCATAGGGGAACCCCATCAAATTAACATCAGACTTCTCAACCAAATCCCTACAGGTCAGAAGAAAGTAGAATGATATATTCAAAATACCAAAAGGAAAAAATTGTCAGTCAAGAATTCATTACCCAGCAAGGCTCTCCTTCAGAAATGAGGGAGAAATACTGTATTTCCCAAACAAAAGTTGTGGGAGTTCACCACCACATGACTAGCCCTGCAAGAAATTCTCAAGAGAGTCGTTCATCAGGAATCTGAATAAAGGTGACCATTATCACAAATACAGAAGAAAGAGCAAAACCCACCATTAAAACAAAAAAGCCAGCAAGAAAGAGAAAGAAGCTAAATCATCCCACCTTAAATTTCCAACTAACATTGAAGAAGAGAAATAAAAGGGGAAATAATGTTCAAAAGATATTCAAACCATCTAAACAAGAAGCAATTAAATGACATGAATTAAGCAACACTTGTCAATAACTCCCTTAAACGTGAATGGATTAAACTCCCTATTCAAAAGACATAAACTTTTTTTCCAAGACTGATTGGATTAAAAAGCTAGACCCAAGTATATGCTGTTTTCAAGAGACCAACCTCACCTGTAGAGACACAAATAGACTAAAAGTGAAGGGATGGAAAAAGATATACCATGCAAATGGAAACCAAAAATGAGCAGGAGTAGCTATTCTTATACCAGACAAAATAGACTTTAAACCAAAAAACATTAAAAAAGACAAAGAAGGCCATTATATAATGATAAAGGGAACTATCCAGCTAGAAGACATAACAATCATAAACATGTATGCACTAAATACTGGAGCACCCAGATATATACAGCAAACACTCTTAGACCTAAAGAAAGAAATAGGACCTAATACAATGATACTGGGTGATCTGAACACCCCTCTCTCAGTATGGGATAGATCTTCCAGGCAACAAGTCAACAAAGAGACACAGGATTTAGTCTACATCTTAGCCCAACTAGACTTGGCAGATATATACAGAACGTTTCACCCAACAACTGAAGAATATACTTTCTTCTCATCAGCTCACGGAACATTCTCCAGGATAGACCACAAATTAGGTCACAAATCTAGTCTCAGAAAATTTAAAAAATTGAAATCATTCCAATGATTTCAGACCACGATGGACTAAAATTGGAAATAAATAATAATCAAAACTCCTGAAACTATACAAATACATGGAAACTAAATAATAGGCTCCTGAATGACCTATGGGTCTAAGAAGAAATTAATCAGAAAATCAAAAAATTTCTAGAAACTAATGAAAATAAAGATACATCACACCAAAACCTCTGGGATACTGCAAAAGAAGGACTAAGAGGCAGATTTATTGCAGTAAATGCTTACATCAAAAGAACAGAAAGACTTCAAATAAGTGAACTAACACTACACCTCAAAGAACTTGCAAAACAACAATAATCCAAGGGTAAAGGTAGTAGATGGAAAGAAATAATTAAGATCAGAACAGAATTAAATGAAATGGAGACCCCAAAAACAATAGAAAATTCAACAAAACAAAAAGTTGGTTTTTCGAGAAGATAAATAAAATAGACAAACCATTAGCTAGGTTAACTAACAAAAGAAGAGAGAAGACCCAAATAACAAAAATCAGAAATGAAAGGGAGACATTACAACTGATACAGAAATATGAGGAATCATTAGATACTATTTATAAACAACTATATAACAACAAATATGAAAATCTGGAATGTGGAGGATACTAACATTTATAAAGCAAATGTACTTTACAGGGCCTAGCTTCCAAGGCCCTGTAGTTTCAGGTATAGACTAACTTTTTAGAATTACACATAAAATTGTTAAGCTTGTGAAAGACAGAAAACTTTCCTTGGGCTAAAGTCTCTGTAGTAGAGAAAGAATTGTAACACAGCAAAATTGCTGGCTCTAAGGGCAGATGTCTTTGGTGCAACTTAACCTACTGATTGTTTTTAAGATATTTTGAGGAAGCTGCTTGATTGTTGTTTAAATATGCTGAAGAAATTGCTGTAGGGAAAAAACTGTTTGCTAAGGGCAAGCTGTTTGTTGGTGTATTGACTTAGCTCTTTACAAATTGCATTCTGGAATGTCACATTTTAAATTTTACTGCTGGTAATAGTTTTACAGTGCCTTTGTTTTTATGTCTTTCTTTGATGATTGAATCAACTGATTTTTCTTGTGAAACTTCCTTGTCTTTACAATAAAAAAGAGAAGCTAACTTTGAATCAGGGCTGTCACATTCAGCTTTCTCCTTTGAACAGGGGAGTTGCTGAAGTGCAGTCACTTCAGACCTCGCATGGCATTCATGGTGCTTTGAGTAATCCTTTTTGCATTTCCATTACACAGGGAGAAGTGTAACACTGGAAGATACAGATAAGTTTCTAGACACATGCAAACTTCCCAGACTGAACCAAGAGATAGAAAACCTGAACAGACCAATAACAAGGAAGGAGATTGAAGCAGAAATTAGCAATCTTCCAACAAAGAATAGTTTGGGTCCGGATAGTTTTACAGCTGAATTCTATCATACTTTTAAAGAGGAGTTAATACCAATTCTCCTCAAACTATTCCAAGCAATTGAAACATAAGCTATTCTCCCAAACCCATTCTATGAAGCCAACATAACTCTGATACCAAAACCAGATAAAGAAACAGCAAAAAAAGAAAATTACAGGCCAATATTCTTGATGGACCTAGATGCAACAATCCATAACAAAATATTAGCAATTAGAATACCATAACATATTTAAAAAATTATACACTATGATCAAGTGGGATTCATCCCAGGGATGCAAGGATGGTTCAACATACAAAAGTTAATAAATGTGATACATCACATCAACAAACTCAAGGACAAAGACTGTATGATTATCTCGATGCTGAAAAAGCATTTGACAAAATTCAGCAAAGACTCTCAACAAATTAGGTATAGAAAGAAAATATCTCAACACAATAAAAGCCATTTATGACAAGCCCACCGCCAGTATCATGCTGGATGGGGAAAAACTGAAGACCTTTCCCTTAAGAGCAGGAACAAGACAAGGATGCCCACTCTCACCACTTCTATTTAACATAGTACTGGAGGTACTAGCCAGAGCAATCAGGTAAGAGAAAGAAATAAAAGCAATCCATTGGAAAAGACGTAGTCAAACTCTCTATTTGCAGATGACATGGTACTATATATAGAAAAACCTAAAGATTCTATCAAAAAACTCCTAGAGTTGGTTAATAACTTCAGTAATGTTGCAGGATACCAAATAAATGCCCCCAAATCAGTTGCATTTATATACTCAAATAATAAACTAACAGAAAGAGAAATAAAGTAAGCCCATTTACAATTGTCACAAAAAATAAAATAAAGTATCTATGGATCAATTTAAGAGGTGAAAGCCCTCTACAGTAAGAACTACAAACTACTTCTGAAAGAAATTAAAGAAGACAAAAAAAGATGGAAAGATAGGCCATGCTCTTGGATTGGAAGAAATAACATTGTGAAAATGTGTGGCCATTTTTTCTAGCCTCTGTTTATGGGAAGGTTAGCCCTCGCATAGACCCAGTTCATACAATGAGTCTGACTCCAGGCTCCGGCCAAGGGTGAAGTGCTTTTGGTTCATTATCATGCATAAATTAATTCAATAAATAACTGAACACTAACTCTACGCCAGGCATTATTTGAAGCATTTGGGATATAGGAACAAATGAACTTAGGCATAGATTTCTGCCCTCCTGGAACTTATAGTTTAGAGGGGGGATACATACAATAAACAACAGACATAATAAGTAAGTAAATCAAATAGTTTGTTAGAAGGTAAGAATTATTATGAAAAAAGAAAAGTAGAGTGGGAAAGGAGGATCAGAATGCAAGTTGCAATTTTAAATAAAAGTTTTCATGTCGGCCTTATTGAGACAATGATGTTGAGCAGACATGAAGAAGTGAGGGAGTTAGCCAGATAACTATCTGGAAGAAATGTGTTCCAGGCAAAGAAACATCCAGTGCAAACACTCGAAACTAAGAAGCAGGTGTAGCATATTTAAGGAACAGCAAGGAGGCTAGTGTAGCTGAAGCACAATGAAAAAGAGAGTTAAAAGAAATGAGGTCAGAGAGGAAAAGAGGCATGGATCATGCTGGCCATTGTAGAAAGGACTCTGGCTTTTACTCTGTGTTAAATGTAAAACCAGAGCAGGGTTTTAAACAAAGGAGTGATGTGATCTGACCTACATTTTACAAGTATCACCCTGGTTGCTATGTTGAGCATTGATTTGGGAGAGGGAAACATAGATAAGGGCAAGAAGACTAGTTAGGAAGTTTCTGTGGTAAATCCAGGCAAGAAATGATAGTAGTGTAGACCAAAGTAGTAGTAGTGAAGGTGGTGAGAAGAGGTTGGATTCTAAGTATAAAGTGAATAGGATTTCTTGAAAGAGTCTAGGGAAGACTACAAATGGTGAAGAGGTACAAAAAATGCTCAACTCACTAATCATCAGGGAAATGCAAATTAAAACCACACTGAAATATCACCTCACCCCAGTGAGATTGGCTATAATCAAAAAGATAGAGAATAACAAATGCTGGAAAGGATGTGGAGAGAAGGGAACGCTCCTACACTGTCATCTCACTGCGCCGCAGGTGCCTGTTTCCAAGGCAGAAGGCAAAATGTCAGGAGCAGGATGGAGGGCTGAGTCTGGGAAAGGCCAGCACCAGGAGATAAAAACACGGGGACAAAGACAAGTTGAAGAGGGCACAAACAAAGAACAGAAAAGTAAGATAAGGGGCGGCCTTACAGAATAGGAGAAAAAAAGAGAGAAGTGTTTCAGAGCCTCCAAAGAGACCAAGATGAAGCAGTTTCCTGGGCCACCAACTCTGAGTCCCACACTGTTGGTGGGACTGTAAAATAGTACAACCACTATGGAAAACAGTATGGAGGTTTCTCAAACAACGACAGATAGATCTACCATTCGATCCAGCAATCCCACTTTTGGGTATATACCAAAAGAGGAGTGGGAATCATCACGTCGAAGGGATAACTGCACTCCCATGTTCATTTCAGCTCTGTGTACAATAGCCAAGACATGGAACCAACCTAAATGTCCATTGATGGATGATTGGATAAGGTAACTGTGGTATATGTACACCATGGAATACTACTCTGCCATAAAAAAGAATGAAATTCTCCCATTTGCAAAAACATGGATGAACCTGGATAAACTTATGTTGAGTGAAATAAGCAAAGCACAGAAGGATAAATACCACAGAATCTCACTGATATGTGGGAGCTAAGAGAGAAAGAAGGAAGGAAGGAAGGACCACAGTCTTGTGTTAGTCTTGCAGAGAGAGTGAACATTCCTTGGGCTACAATGTGGAATGTGGGGGAAAGGAGGAGGGGGAAGGAGGTCGGGATAATTGGGTGAGGGACACGGGGTACAAAAGCAATTTGTGGTAATGGGTATGCTGCCAGTATGAATCTGACCCTCACATCATGCCATGAGGGGTGACAATCAGCTTTGTATCTCATGAATATTCATAATTAAAAAAAAACTTAATGAAGTCAAACTATGTCCTTACTGCCACTTATGTACTTACCACCACAATTCATGATCTTTCTTACTGTGGTAGTTGAAAGAATTTGCTTGCTTCTTAGAAAATCTGCAATTTGCCCTCCGATGGGCACAATAATTGTCATTACTAAGTGTGGCACAGCAGACAGCATGCCAACCTGATGAAAAGCAAGAAAGGGAAGAAATATGCGTAATCATAAATAATGTGGGCAATTCAATGGTCTTGGTTTTCTGAATTCATCATCAACTCTTTATGGACAAAGGAAAGAAAAATACTGTCTTCAAATGACCACTTACTCATTCCTAGAATAAGCAATAACTTCTGCAGAATAAATAAAAACTAAGTAAATTTACTTTGATCCTTTTTTATCTTCTAGAAGGGAATACATTTTATTTATTTTTTTCTATGTTATGGCTCAGTAAATTTTGAGTTTATGAATCAACTATCCTGACTCTTACCACAGTGATTCACATTTGTGTGTTCATCTTATATTCTTAAATGTATTTGTACAAATTCATCATTAGCAAGAGGGAAGGAGAGGAGAAGAGAGACAGAGAGAGGAAAATTAGATTTGACACCATAAAGAGGCTGAATTTTAAAGTTCACTTTTAATTCAAAAGGCTAAATTTGCATATTTGTATTTTAAATATATATCTTTTATACGTTCTATAACATGGATTTAATTTATATACAGTAAGAGCAGAGGTAACGCAGNTTACCTTTCATATGAAAAAACAAAAGACACCAAATAGCCAAAGCAATCTTGAGCAAAAAAAGTAAAGCCAGAGGCATAACTCTACCTGACTTCAAATTATACCACAAAGCTATTGTAATCAAAAGAGCATGATTCTGGTGTAAAAATAGACATTCAGACCAGTGGAGTAGCATTGAGAACCCAGAAATCACCCCTCAGGCTTACAGCCATCTGATTTTGGACAAAGGCAACAAAAATCTACACTGGGGAAAAGACTGCCTCTTCAAGAAGTGGTGCTGGGAAAACTGTATATCCATATGCAGAGGAATAAAACTAGATATGCACCTTTTACCATGCACTAATATCAACTCGAAATGGATTAAAGACTTAAGTATAAGACCTGAAGCTGTAAAATTACTAAGGGAAAATATACGTGAAACACTTCAGCAACTAGGTCTGGGCACAGGCTTTATGAACATGAGCCTGAAAGCACA